TGCTTTGTGGAGACCCTTTAGTGCCTATCATAGCTAAAACCCTTTGCAGGGGACCTTAGGCAGACGGACCTCTGAAAGTGTATTTCTGCAGAGACAGCTGTGGGCATGAAGGTTGGAGATGAGCATCTCTGCTAACTCACATCATAGCAAAAATGGAAAGCATTGTGCCAAATTTTTTTAGAACAGCTACAAAATTTCTAAATTACACAATATACTCCTTAAAACTTTTAAAATTCAGATATAATTACACACAATGAAACGCATCCATCGTAAGTGTGTAGTTTGGTGTGTTTCTGATGAATACATGCATTGCCGTGGCTAATACCCCAATCAAGACACAGAACATTGCCATAACCTTAGAAAGTTCTTTATGCATCTTCCTAATCATCCACAACCCTGCTGCCCCTCACCAAAGGCAACTATGATTCTGGTTTTTATCTCATAGATCAGTTTTGCCTGCTGTTGAACTTCATCTGAACTAATGCAATATGTACTCTTTTGTGCTGGCTTATGCATTATGCTTTTGAGGCTCATCCATGTGTTTGTATGTACTAATAGTTTGTTCCTTTTTATTGTTAAGCAATATTGGATCGAATGGATATTTCATGATTTGTTTATCCATTCTTCTTTGATGTACATTTGGGTTGTTTCTAGTTTGTTGCTATTACGAATAAAGCAGTTACCAATGTTTCCATAGAGGTCTTTTTGAGGACTTATTTTCATTTTTCTTGGTTAAATAGCTAGGGGTAGAATTGCTGGATCATAAGTTAGGTGTGTGTTTAACTTTACAAGAAACTGCCAGACAGTTTACATAATGCACTCTTAATTAATAAACCTGATTACCTGTGAATTCTTCTACATTTTTTATTTCATGATTTGTTTTTGTCTTGAATTACATTGATAGGTTATGGGTACATATTCTTTTGAAATGTATCCTTAAAGATAAGACCTTGATTAACTATATCATTTTAATGGTTCTTTAAGTCTTCTGAGTTGTTTATGCAAACAACTTGGAATCTGAAAGAATCATATTGGAAAACTGGGATGATCTCTTTTGTGACTCTCTGCCATATTTTTATCTTCTTTAATATTTTATACATACAAAAATATGTGTAATATATGCATTAGTTATAAAGCATAATGATAAAGTGGAAATCTGTAAATTTACCACCCGACCTGAGAATAACATAGTTCTGAGAACACTGCATGTGCCTATGGGGTTCTCCCCACTCCCTCCCAGAGGTAACCAGGATCCTGTGTTTTGTGTTCTTTATTAATCCTCTTGCCAAAACAAAAGTAAAACAAAACAAAAATACTTTATTGTGTATTTAATTATCTTACTTAAAAAAATTGCCACATTTTTTTTGTTGTCCTTGCATTTAAGAGCTTTATCAAAATGGTATTGTGTGCTTTTTTCAGAACTTGCATTTTTTTTTTTAAATTTAAAATTGTGTTTCAAAGATTTGCCCATGTGTGTGTGTGGCTGTGGTTTATTCACTTTTGCTTTGAATGACATTCCTTTCTGGAAATATACCATAGTGTATTGTGTACTTAGAATACTTATCAATTGTCATCTGTGCTGTTTTTCACTGGGTACATATTACATTTTGGGGGCATCTGGTACATTTGGCAGAATATTTTGAAATAAAACTTTTCAAGTAAACAGTTTTTAAAAAGTGAAACTGAGCAACCAGTTTCAGCTCCAAATGAAGGGAAATTTATAAGACACCTGGGGAAAATTGCATAAAACAAAATGGGTGATGCATTATTGGTGCTATTATAAAGCAAAGACTCCAATTAATGTTTTACTACATGATTTTATTTCCAAGGTTGAAAAAATAAGTTTGACTTTGATATGTAGAATGTAATCCTTGAAGAAAACACAAATCACGTTCTTTGTCTAGGTGATCAAGTTAGAGCTAAAAAGCAATCTAAATTTTCACTCTCTTCTCAATATTAAGCTCTATAATAGTAAGCATGTAACTTCACTGTCTAAAATAATTTATTTCCTACTACTTTAGGAAAACACAAACATTTAAAAAACTCACAAATGAAAAATAATTTTGGCTAAAAAAACTCTACAATATAAATAACTATACATTTCTCTTTATTCCATAAACCTCCCTATGTTCAGTGACAACTCACTGGGCATTTTTATTATTAATACTTGAAATATATTGTGTAGTAAAGATGCTTATATTAGCATTCACCTTTTAAAAATCAGCTCTAAACTTTTGTCTTAATTTACAAGTATGTATTAAAAAATTCTGAACACTAAATATGATGAGAATATAATATTGATATTCCTTTACATTTATTTAGCTGCAGAATGGATCTGTAGGCATCAAGATTAACCTCATGCAGGCAACTCTCTGAAGAAATATTTTAAAAATTAGTAAACTAAATTTTAATTATTCACATATAGTACCTTATTTTTAAACGATACATGCTAAATATGAGTTTCTTTTTAAAGATTCTAATATGTTTCTTCCTTTGCTAATGTCCAGAAACATCTAAAACTGGAACATTGTATTTGAAAATTAAGCTGAATTTCAGTTAAACAAAACAAATCCCATATGAATGGCTCTTTTAACTAAAAAAGAAAAAAAAGATATATTTCCTTTCTATCCACTGACTCACTGAATTGAGCTAAATATTTCCAAGGGGAAAAATGATCTAGGAAATAAATATAGGGGGGAAAAGGGCTAGGTTTCCATCGTGATAGCTTCTGACTTGTTTTCAGTTCTTAAGAGAAAAAATTATTTACGAACGATGGGATGCATAATGTAACGCGGAAATCTTTTACAATTAGAGTAAAAAAAGAAACCTACCTTTCCTTCAGAAACGTTCTTCTCTTACCAGACAGCCTAATTGTTTATGAAACACTGCCACTCGATCTAGACATTCACAACTCTTTTATTAGCCATCTTCTTTTTTATTTATTATTGACATCAATTAGCCTGAGTCATGAAACCGGACCACATTACAGACGACACGTGGTCCAATCACTATTTTTAAAAGTCCACGTATTTCAAACTCCTTTCTCCAGCCATTGCTGGGCTGTTTCTCCTTTGAGAACCTGGTCTCCGCAGCATTATTTCATTAGATGGCAGTCCTAGGGCAGTCTCTCTTTGGGGAAACCGCTCCTTGGTCACATTCAGGAAAACCACCAAGGAGACCTGGAATTGGTGCTGTTTTCTAGTCACTTACGTAGCAAACGAAACTAGAGAGACGTGCTCGGGAGGACCCCAGGCAGGTGCGGATGGGTTTCCGCAGTGACCACTGATCGCTCGTGTGTGCGGCACATTCCCGGGTCCCGACACCAGCCGGGAGACCCGTACCAGCCCGGGCTTCGGCCCCGGCCCCCCACCCAATCCTCAGGAGCCCTTCGGACACGCCCCCCCAGCCTCTGGGGCCCCGCAGCCCCGCACTGTGCACGCGCCTCGGCCGCTCTCCGCAGCCGCCCACGTGGTGGAGCCCCGAGCCTCGTGAGGCCGCGAGGACAGCCCAGGGCGGGCCGCGGGTCGTAGAGGCCCGGCCAGCGCGACCCAGCCTGGCCAGCCCCCTGCCCGGGCCCCCACATTTCCTCTCCCGGAGGGAGGCGACACTCCGCCGGCCGGCCCTCCCCGGCGCCTGCCGCGCCCCCTGGCGGCCGTCGCGGGGACGCGCCCTGGGCACGCGGGGCAGCCTGTCTGGGCCCCCCTTCCCCAGCTCGCGGCCCGCGGGGGGCGGCAGGCCGTCTCCCCTCGCGCCCCCAAGCCAAGCCACGCGGGCCGCGCCCTTCCCCTTCAGCTCCCCGCAAGCCCCAGAACTCCGGGCTCCCTGGTCGCGAGGCCGCGGCCGTCCCAGCCTTGCGTGAAAGTGCCTTAGTAGCTTGGGGGTCTCCTTTCTCCCAGGTGTGCCCCTCCCGCCACATTCGGGCTTTCCAGCACGCTGAGAAAAAAATGCCGCATGCACGCACTTATTTATTTATTTTGCAACAGCTGCAAGAAACAATGAAGCTTTTCAAGACCTGAGGAAACGCGCTTTCCAGCCGTGCTGTTGTTTTCAATGAACCTCTCCGGCCCCGCACTGCCCGCTCACCCCGCCCGCTCCGCCCCCTCCGCCCCCTCCGTCCCCTCCGCCCCCTCCCCTCCTCCTCTCTCCTCCCCAGCCTGCCCCTCCGCCGAGCCCGGGCCGGCGCCGGGGGCATTGTTTTTGGAGTCTTGCGGGAGGGGAGGGCGCGTGCAGGGTGGCCGGCGCAGTGCGGGTGGGGGCGAGAGCGTGTGGGCGCGCGCGCGCGTGTGCCGGCGCGGGCGGGGGGCGGGGGCGGTGCCTCGCAGCCTCGCACCCCACGCCCGGGCTCCGCTCCGCACGTCCCTGGAATCCCGGGCTCCGGCTCTTGGCGTGCGCCGGCCTGGGCCGGGCCCTCCGCGCGCCGCGGCTGCGGCTGTGGCCGCTCCAGTGTGCGCGCGGGCGCGTGTGCGCGGTCCCGAGAGCTCGCGCGCGCGAGCCCCCAGTGTGTGGCAGCGGCGGCGGCAGCGGCGCGGCGAGGCTGAGGCTCTTGTTTACCAGCATTAACTCCGCTGAGCGGAAAAAAAAAAAAAAAAAGGAAAAAACCCGAGGAGGAGCGAGCGCACCAGGCGAACTCAAGAGAGGCGAGCGAGCGAGAGGGACGCCGCCAGCGAGCCTGTCCCCGGCGCGCCCGTGCCCGACGCTTGCAGACCCTCGGCCCCGCTCCCCGGGCCCTCCACGCCCCTCCCGCGCGAGGGGAGCTCCACGGCGCGTTGCGCGCCTCGGCTTTGACCTTCAGCGAGCCGGAGCCCCCGCGCGCGGAGCCGGCTGCGGCGGGCGGGGGCCGGGCGGGGGCCGGCGCGGAGCCCGGGCGGCGCGGCGGGAGTGCTGAGCGCGGCGCGGCCGGCCCGCCGCTTTGTGTGTGTTCTGGATTTGGGAAGGAGCTCGCGGCGGCGGCGGAGGCGCTGAGGGAGGAGGCGGCGGCGAGCGGAGCCCGGAGGAGGAGGAGGAGGGGGAGCCGCTCATTCATTTTTACTTCGCATTTCTGCCCCTGGCCGGCCTCGCCCGCGACCCGGACTTCGGGGCAATCTTGCGAACTGCGTCGCGCCCTCCAGCCGCGGAGGCTCGGGTGTCGGACAGCCTCCCCCTCTGCCTGGGGTCGGGTTTGTTTTTCCTCGCCGAGACGAATTTGGGCTTTGCCCCCTTTCTGTGCAGTTTTCCCCCCCTCCTGCCTCTCTGGGTTTGAAAATGGAGGCCGACGACGCCGACAGCCCGCCCCGGCGCGCCTCGGGTTCCCGACTCCGCCGAGCCCTGGGCCGAGGCTGCCGGCGCTGAGGGGCCGCCCCGCGCCGCCGCCCGCCCGCTCCGCGCACCCGGAGGGTCCCTGGCCGGCGCCGCCTTTGGAGTATTGTTTCCTTCGCCCTGTTTTTGGAGGGGGCGAAGACTGAGTTTGAGACTTTTTCTTTCCCGTTTTTTTCTTTTTTTTCCTTTTCCTTTTCCTTTTTTTTCCTTTTTTTTTTTTTTTGAGAGAGGGGAATTTCGTCCCAAATAAAAGGAATGAAGTCTGGCTCCGGAGGAGGGTCCCCGACCTCGCTGTGGGGGCTCCTGTTTTTCTCCGCCGCGCTCTCGCTCTGGCCGACGAGTGGAGAAAGTGAGTATGTGCCCGCCGCCCGCGGCCACTGCGGGAACTTTTCCTCCGAGGGGCTGCGCCCTGTTTGCGAAACCCGAGTTGCCACCGTCGCAGCTGTCGGGCCCCCGGGCTCGGGAGCGGCGGGGCGGGGTACGGAGGGGCTCGGCCAGAAGGCCGGAGCGGCCCCGGGGCCCCGGTTCAGCGCACCCTCGCGCGGGAAGGGCCTCGGGGGCTTTCTCTTTTGCTGTCCCGAGAGCCCTGCCCCGCGGGCCGGTTGTCTTTCGCTGCGCTCGTGCCCGCGCTGGGACTCCGTCGGAAGTTCGCGCCAGCCCGGGCCCCGCCACCCACACCTCACCCCCCTCCCGGCGCGCGGGCCACTCGGCACAGAAAGCTGGCCCCCGCGCGGCGCGCAGACGGCGGTGACAGCTCCCGCGGCGGCGCGGGGCCCCTGCTGCTGGGGCACACACGGTGCTCGGGGAGCCCACCGGCCGTGGCGTTCCAGGGGGAGGCGCCCGGCGGAGAGGCCCCGCAGCCCCAGGACACGTTTCCAAACCTCCCAGCGCGGCCTCTGGTTGCCAACGTGCTTGGCCCCTCGGGCGTTTTGGGATTCTGGCCTTTCCCTTCCCGTCACTTTCACCCGATCTTCGACGGGTTACCTGCCCCCGGCTTCGGCTTCCCGCGGCTGCCCTGTGCCGCTCGGGTTGGGGGGAGCGTTCCCGCTTAGCACCCCCCGCCCGGAAAACAGCTAGGTTGGGGGCTCTACATCAGTCTGGCTTTTCCGGGGAGTGAGTCTGGGCCACTAGTTCAGAGGGTTCTGGGATTTTCTTCAACCAAGTTGCTATCCGCGGGTAGACGCCTCTCCTCCTCCTGGCGGGGCTGGGGGTGGTCGGTCAGCATCCGACTGTGCTGGAGTGGGTGTGTGGTCCGAGTCGACGTGCAATTCCACACACGTGCTCGTAACGCGGGGCTGTAGCTGTCGCCACACGGCCGCTCGGGGATACCTAGGCGCCTGGCCCTGGCGAGAGGTGTCGTGCGCCGTGGTTTAAGGAGCGCCAGGGTCCGCGGCAGCGGGGGAGGTGGGCGGGAGGGTGTTTTGTTTTGCGAGTGCAGAGCCCTCGCCTTGGTTTTGTGGCCGGAGTTGTGTGGCACTACCTACCCCCCCACCCGCCCCGCGCTTCCTTTGTGCAAAGTTAATAAGCAATATCGCTCCACGCTCGCTATCGCTTGCAATCTGATAGCTTTTGTTTTGATAGCGTCGGGTAGGGGTAGGGAAGTGCGGGGAGGGAGGGAGAACTTAGGGCCCCACGGTGTGTGGAGGGAGGCGAGGGAGGGGGTTCCATACTCAAAAAATTGAAACGTGGTTTCCTAGCATAGTCGCGATGGTAGGATAATTTGAACACGACGAAAGTTTCAATGCAGTCGGAGAACTGGGGCTGGGAACGGTGAGGGCGTGTTGGTGAGTAATGTTTGCCGAGGGTATGCAGGTGGTGCCAATTAACTTTGAAAAAATCACGACCGAGCCTTGAAGAGTGAGGGGGGGGAAACCGGGGGGGGGGGGGGGGGGGGCGGTCTGGCCCCCTCACAGGGGCGATTCGGAAAGGCTGTTTGTGTAAACAAACCCTTCTTAAGTGTCTTGTAAGAAATGAGTCCATGATGGAGTAAGAGGAGATTTTTTTTTATAAAGAACTAGTGTTTACTACATGGAGTAAGTCGCAGATTGAGGCCGGACCTTCCACAAATCTGAGCTCTCCTGCTCTTTGTTTTCTAAACTTTCAGCTCACTGGATTGGACGAAAGGCTTTCGGCTCCCTTCTAAGGATTACAGATGGTGTTTGGTTGGGGGGTGGGGTGGGCAGAAGAGGGTTTCTAGCCTCTAAAAGCTAAACACAGTTTAGAAGACACAGGAGAGCTAATCAATTTTTATGGCGTGCTACCGAAGTGTGTAGTGTCTCTAGTTTTATTATTTAACGTTAGTAAGTTCCGAAATTCACAACAGCAATGATGGCCTTGCTTCTTGAGGAAGGAGTCGGGCATTTTAAAATAGGATGTCTTGTTTGGAGCGATCTTCATGAAAACATGCTCTTTGTGAAAGGCAGTTCTTTCTTGAGAAAACAGGAGGAGAAGGGGCATTTTTCATGCTACTGAGAGACCAAAGTTTTTTTTCTCAAGGATCCCTTGAAAATCGTTGGTTCCTGAAAACCTGATGGATGGCCAGAAGGCACTCTTGACTCCCCTTTTGGTTGGTCCAAGTCCTCATTCAGTGTCTGCTCCTTCCCACAGCTCTGAAGTTTTCGGGAGAAAATGATAAGCTCAGTGTTAGCATGTGTTCGCTTTTTAGTCAGAAAGGTGGTAGAAGACTTACCTCTGGTAGAAATAAACTACTGAATCCAATCAGAGATAGGTAATTCTTTTGGCTGTCTAGGATAGTGATAAAAATTGGGATGGTGTTGGTTCCTATTGTGTTGGCATATTTAAGGATTAGTGTTTCGTCTTTGAACACTGAAACCTACAGCAGTAGGGTGATTTTCTTTTAAACCTTTAACTTAGATTTAGAAGTTTTTGAGGCAGATGAAGTCATGCAGATATGTGTGTTTTGTATCAACATAATGTGAACAGAGCATCTAAAGAAGGGAGTCTTGGAAGTTATGAGTAGTAGATCATCTGATGGCTTCTTCTTCCTCCTCTTCTTTTTAAAAATCCATATTCACTTCAAACAGATTGTGGCCATCTCATTAAAAGGATTCAGTCATCTTTCTGCCCCAGGCACAGTTATATCCTCTTGTCAGAGAAATATAGGTATGTGAAAGGTTGGTGTTTAAAGAAGTTGGTGTTTTATTACCAGAGGAAGAGCACAGAATAAGAAGTTTGGAAAGAACCTAAATAGCAAATTATAGTTTAGACTGTAGAGAGGACTAGCAAGTAAATGGTACTTTTGAGTAGGGATGGGGTGTGGGTCAGGATTTGGAGTTTAAAAGGTTATATGTTTGATTTGTCAGAAGGATTAGAAAAATCCAACCTTAAGAAATATGCTAAGGTTGCCTGGAAGAACCTTAAAAACAAAGTGCTAAGTGAAAGAAGTCAATCGCAAAAGACCACATATTGTATGATTCCATTTATATGAAGTCCAGAATAAGCAAATCCATAGAGACTGAAAGTAGATTAGTGGTTGTGTAGGGGGCGGGGAGGCGGGAACAGGGAGTGACTGTTAATGGGTATGGGGTTTCTTTTGGGGGTGATGAAAGTGTTCTAAAATTAGATGGTGGTGATGGTTGTACAACACTGCACTAAAACCCATCGAATTGTACACTTTAAATTAGTGACTTTTATGGCATGCGAACGATATCCCAATAAACCTGTTGTGTTTTTTGGTAGAGATGTGCAGAGGTCGACAAGAATGCATTGTGTTCCTTTGAACATAGAGATTAGATTAAAATTATTAAGTAAATTTGTCCAGCAGGTTGGTGTCTGTCTCTTTCTTATTTGTGGAATTTTTCAGATCCATGCCCTATAGCAGTATAACAAACCAATGGCTGATGCTCTGTCAGCAGCAGGGATTCAAGGCCACAGGAGACATGGAGAAGGAAAAAAAAAATCTTGGTTCTGCATAGCTCAAGTTAAGGATTAGGGGGTTGGATTAAAGAAACACAAATGCTAGTGAAAGTCAGATTTGTGACAGTAAAATCCTTCACTGCATCTGAAACGAAGTTGGTTTTTCCAAGATTAAAGTTTAGGATCCGGGTCTGGCTGGCTTTTTTTGTATTTCCAGTTTTCTTACATATGTTTTCCAACAAAGAAATAATGTACTGTTTTAAGGTGGTAAAGAATTTCCACTTTTTTTTTTTTTGACATCCCATATTAACTACTCTGGTAGTGAAGACTGAGGTTGAATGTGGTGGGTTTTTCTTTGTTGCTCATTTTATTTTCTAAAAAGCTCCAGAATCTGAGCAGGAAACAGAATCTTTGTAAGAGAGAGCGGTGGTTGCAGGCATACAGTGATTTTTTTAAATTTAAAAATTCTCATGGAACAAAAGATTTAAAAATAGAGCAAAGGCAATTTTGTTTTTAAACAGTTATGCCTTTTTCCAGGTTTACCTTGGCCTTTTAATAGGAAAAGACGTAGAGAATAATTGTTTACTTTTGTTTTTGGTCTTTGTCTAAGGCTTAGTTTACTAATAAAAATGTTTCCTGTCCTTATTGTTGCAAGATCAGGGCTGTGATGAAAATCAACTGTATCATTTTCACTTGTTGCCTTAGAGTTTTGCCAAGGGGAGCCCCCAAGGGACAGTAGCTTCCTTTTAAATCTGGTTTCATTTGTTTTGTGAAAATGTGCTTCGAGAAGCAACCAAATCCAACCAGCACTTATTGGGCACCTTCTGTATGAAAGCTGGACCCTGTGCTAGGCAATGCGTAAGCTTACAAAGAAAGACGATTTTGCTTTTGCCCTTGGGGCATTTTATAAACTCCTTCATGAAACAAAGTTGCTTGGACATTCAGATCTTTTTTAGCCTCAACACAGGATAGGCAGTTTTCAAATCGACAGCAAACAGCCTTTTAAAGGCTCTTTAAAAACATGTAATCTACAAGTAAACCAGTGTTGCTGAATCTTCTCAAGCCCTGTGTTGTACCATTTTTGCCACCTTAACATACTACCTCCTACTGCAGTGGCATGGCAGGCCATGACACATAGGACGCATTCACTCATCCTTGCTCAGCCTCGCTGCTTTGAGAGAACATTGGTTATGACAATTGTGATGAAAAGTATGGAGTGTTGCAGTTACCTTTTGCCAAAACTTTAGGAGTTACAGGTGTGTCCATGAAGGCTGCACAGCATGTTTTGAGTTGTAAGGGAGATGGAACTGTTCTGGATTTATTTATTGCTTAGCTTTCTGGAAATTATTAGGAAACTTTCTAAATTGTAAGGCTTTATAATTTAAAAGAACTTGCTGTTTTTAAAGGTATGAAGGGGTAAGAAGATTGAGGAGGCAATTAAATCTTGAATTTTTTTTTTAATCCTAAAAAGTA